GTATTTCCGAACATCTCAGCTACATTGCGATCTCGAGTACATGAAGTGAACGCTTGGAATGAACGCGATGGTTTTGGATTCTTCGAACAGTCATCCTCGAACGAGGCAATCAAATCATCAGACAGTTGAGTTCCACGATAAAGTATTGTTCCTGGCTTGGCTGATTTACTGTTGAATGGATTATCCCACAGAAGAAGACAAAATGGACCCAATGTGTGTACTTTACTTCGCCAGATTTTTTCATGCTCTTCACTTCCTATCAATCGCATAGCCTCATTTATTTTTTTGAATAAGAATGTGTCCATCGTATAGAGATGAGCACAGCATATCCATACTTCCTTCATTTCTGCTACTTCTTTTTTTTCTCTTAACATCTTAGCTATACGTTCAGCTTCAATTTGCTTTTCAGCCTCTTTGCCTTCTTCAATAATACCCAATGCAGCTTTTTCTACAATCATCGAAACGATGTCCGGATTTTTCGAAGGCAGTTTATTTTTTGTTAGGTGCAGATCTTTTGCTACTTCTTTTACAAAAGGTGAAATAAAGCCATACACACCACCATAGGGACGTCGCGGGGCAATAGGATTTGGTAAAAATCTTTCCGATCGCACACGCTTTTCATAACCATTGTATTCCATTCGTTTGATAGGTCGTTGTCTTTTAAGATCGTTGTTTGAGATTTGAAGATTGTGCTCAAAATCAATATGATAATCGTCCAACATAGTATGAGCTTTACCAGCCGTGAATGCTTCTTCAATGATCTCATTTTCTATATCAGAGTAAGGATACCATTCAACTGGTTGAGACTTCGAAAACGGATCCGCGCTTGAATTCCACGTCCATTGAATGCGTCTATAACAACTGCTGATTGTGGATGCTTTACCATCCGTTGATGTTGTTTTTTTTCTAGACGTTTTGACTTCATCATCTATCGATTTTCGCTGTTGTCTGGATGCACATGGTTCGAGATCCATTGATATTGCTTTTTAAGGCCCTCCCCTTAACAAAGTTCATCTTTGTCATAAACATCGAAATGAAGATAAATGCATAAAAAGACAGCCCGTCATCAAATTTTTCAGAAGTAGTATGAATTTTCTCCTGATGCCTAGTTTCTAGTAAAATTTTTGATGATTTCCACGATATTGTAGTCGAAAAACAGGCTTTTTGTAAAAAAAACGAAAAATCTTTCTCATTTTTCTCGGTTTACCATTTTTTGATCTTGTGTCGAAAATTTCTTGGTTCAGGCTCATTCGATATATTTATATATTATGTTTGTTTGAAAGAGCATGCCAAGATGCAGAGCACCATAGAGTCCCGTTTTTTTAAATTAAGCATAATTTTTATAGCATATACAGACACTTATGTAACGAGGCACCTATTTTTGGAGTCATTGAACTTGTGATCCCCTTTCTCCGCTAAAAAAGTAAGAATTTCAAAAAAAAAAAAGACTCTGTGGTGCCCTGCATCCTGACGTGCTCTTGATGAACAAAGCAAAACTTAAACATATAGCATGAGCGTGGATCGAGAAATCTTGGAAGCAAAATGAGCTATTTTTCTACCATTGTTTGGTTCATATCTCTGTCAAACATCATGGTATCGAGCTGAAAATTTTACGACAGCTTCCTCACTTCAGTCACGACATATGCTCCAAATTTCAGTCCATTTAAACGTACCTGAGCTGAGATCAGTTTTTGAGTGGGAGGGGGGGGGAGAGTGCCTTAGACTCAAATACTAGAATTTAAACGATACTAATTCATACTTTTATTCTGTTTGAAACAATATAAATAAGGAAAGTTTTTTAGCATCCTATGTAGCAATCAAATTTACATTTTATATCTATGCACAACTTTAAGTCATGCTCTGACGTGAGCAGATAGCAATCAGAAACCAACACCTAACGAAGTTTTCGGTTGAGAATTCGATTCGATTTAGTTTCAGTTCCATTGAATAAGAAGCTTAAAGTATGCTGTATTTGTGCACTTTTCATCCTTATTTCTCATTTATTTTGGGGGCTCTTCAACTAGTGGCTTGTTTCAGTGTTACCTGACATTTTAAACTCGTCGCTTTTATAGATCAAAAACGTATTGAATTTTCCTTACTCAAGTTCGGTTCACTTCACTTACGATCTGTGACAGCAGTATTATGGAAGAAAATAACCGTGGTAGTCGATGAATATGTTACTGTTTTTATTATTCACCGATCCTGCCCTGTTGTTTTGATATTTTCTGGTATTCTATCTAATACCACGCAAGCTCAGTGGGAAAACCTAAAATTTTGATTTCTCGAATTTCTTTGATTGCTGTCGATTCCTGTCCTTTTTCCACCGTGAAATCATAGATTAAACTTCTTTGTGATAGCTTTTTGGATGTTTGGCTTTAAATAGAACGACAATCCGATGCTTTTGCCTGTAAATTTATACTATTGAAAGTGTAAGTGCTATTTTAGGAAATATAATTGAAGCGAGCGATGCGCTCTTAAAAAGAAAAACGAACGATACATCAGATTTCGACTACACCTAATCTACTTTTGATCTGTCAGTTTGCTTGAGATGTATCTAAAAAATAATTAGGACGAAAAACTATATACTTTTTAGAGCTGAACACTACAGTTGGAAAAGGAGTTCGATTTAACCCTATGCTATTCTTTTCAAGTCAGTTCATTTTGTAAATTTAATTGAAAATATTTATTAAGTCTTCTGAACTCATTCGCAGTGAATTAAGGAAATTTGCCAATACTTATGAAATGAATTAGATTGAATTCATGACATCTTTTTCTTCAATGAATTGAATGAAGTTGAAAGACTTTTTAACTGACGTTATCAGATCTATTCTTTTTGTAACTTTCGAAAAATGATCAGATATGAGAACGATTAACAAGTGATTTGACCATAAATGGTATGTGAAGTTTGATACTTTATCCAATTAAATTGTTCATACATGTTCCTCATACTTAGATGACTACCTCCAAGCTGTATTTCATGACTACTTCTTATATTATGTCACAGTTTCCACAAAAGACACCCTAAAAAAAGTGCGGAAACCACATACTCATCGAAAGAGATTTTTGTTTTTTAACGAGAAAAGACAGCTCATATTGAGTTGCTAGTTTAAACGTTATTAGCCTAGCATAATATGGCAGAAAAAACATGAATGGCATTGAATTATCATTTGCAAATAAAAAACTAGTCCTCAGGAAACATTGAAATTAGCACCGGAGTCGAGTTGGGTAGAAGACAAATTCGGAAAAAGGTTTCGTGTTGGAATCGAGTTCGAAAGAAAGGCGTTGGATTGAAGTCGAATCTGAAAAGTCGAACACGCGTAGGATCTTAGTTTAACATATATAATTATCGAAAAGACGGTTTTGATAGTTGAAAGCCCTTTCAAAGTGAATCATCCACCGTACCCATCATCATACTCGCAATACTTACAAGTAACGAATTAATTGTTGACCAAACGATTACAAACACGTATTGAAAATCGATGAGAACTGTTCAAAAGCTGATAAATGTATTTTATCTGAAATAGAAATAAAAAACCGAAGAACAGATTTCGATTCATCCATATCCTTACTATTAACCTCATATCAGTCATAAGAGATCAACATCATGGTAGCATATATTGGGACGAGATAATCACGAAGAAGACAGCAAAAAACTAAACACTACTTACTTTTCACGTCAAAATATGTTGGACATAAGAAAGAAAATCCAATGACTACGGCTCCCTCAGACCCTGTTTCGCTGTTAAAACTTGGTAGTCGTATTCTCTTTCATTGTAATTTTGATATATAAGTCACAGGCCAACTACTGCGAATAAACTGGAAGAGAGAATGTTGAAGAACACCAAAACTACAGACCTTTTATCATCAAGTGTATGAAAAACGAAAAAATGTAAAGATAAGGTTTTTTCTAACTTTGCACTACCTGTGGTAGTTACTTCTCTCCATTATTTGTCACACAGAAGCAAGAGTGGTTCGAACTATCATGTTTGATTGTGAATCAAAAGAAAAACAAATATTGACGACGCACTACCGTCAGTATATATATATATGTTTAAGACATAAGGAGGGCTGCGCAAATACAGATACAAATTGTATCGACCGTTTCATATAAGATGTAACATGTCCCCACTGATAAGTATATATCAGCATGTAACGGCATGTAGCGACCTGTATCGACCCTATGTATCGCTATAACAACCTATATACCCCTGAAAAACCTAGAATTCAAGAATTCATGTAACGGCATGTAATGACATGTAACGACTAGAGATCTGCGGAGGACTCCGAAACCCGATTACGACTCCGACTCCGTCGGAGTCGGGTTTACTGAAAAATTTTTCGGAGTCAAATAGAAATCGGAATTATAACCATCTATGACTAATTTTTGCTGTTTCATAAATCAATAACTTTATTTTTCATATTGATAATCAAAAGAACAAAAGACAACACTTATTAAATAAATTAAGAATGAGTTTTAAGGCAAAAAAAATAAATAGATTATTTTTCAATTATAAGGGTGTGGGTGTGGGTGTGAGAGAATAGATGAATCCAGCCCACACCCACACCCGAATTTCTTCAGCAACATCCACATCCACACCCATCCTATAATAATATTGAAGAAATAATATTAATACTTTTTCTTTTTTGCACGACTTGCTTTTCGGTTGCCTTGTATTTTTGTTTTTCCATCAGTGTGAAAAAATAAACTTCTTTCTTTTTCTCGATGAATAGTTGAATCTTTGTGATTGATAAAGAGTATTGTTTTTCGAAACTCATAAAACATATAAGTATTATCTTTCTGTCTTATCTTTGTTTCGATTCATAAAAAACCAAAACAAAAGCAAGTAATATTTACAACTATTTGTGAAATATGATATCTGTCTAGAATTAAGTATTATCTTTAGTTGCTGACCAATAAATAAAGAAAATCTTATCATTTTTTCTATTTCATTCGCCAGATTTCAACAATTTGTTTCACTTATTCTTGGATAAAACAAATAATGGCATCGTTTGTAGTAAATCTTCTTCTATTATTATTCTTAACACCATGTTATATGGCTTTTTGGTCATCATCATCATCATCATCATCATCATCATCATCATCATCACAGAATAGTCAGTTTCATTATACACATAATAAAAAACAATTGAATACGTTATATAATAAACCAATAAAATCAATTCAAGAATATAGTCGTCCATTAGAAATGCCTGGTGGAAACTTTTTAAATAAATTTGGTATTAATCATCGGGGACAAGTAGTTACTTATGAAGATGGACAAAGATTTTTGGCACATAAAGGAAACAATTTTGGCAAAAATTCACAAACAGTAGCTGTTGACGCAAAATATATGTCAAAGAATTGGTCACCACGTGGACCAGCTGTAAATGCTAATCCTCAAAAACCTGTGAATTTAGGTGATATAATCAAGAGTGGTGGTGCCCATTATAATCCTATGTGCAATAATTGCATACACGGTTCACAACGAATGCAAGAACGCTTTCAAAATGGAAAATAATTTTTATTTTATATAGATTATATTTCGATAAAAACAAATCCTTTGATTATTTCACTATAATAATATTTCGCGAAGATATAACGAAGAACTTAGCACTAGTATGAATTCAATTATAGTTCTTTGTACAAACTTTATATCAATTGTTCGAATTTATTATTTTCATTGTTGGAAATGTTTTCTCGAAGAAAAGAAAATAATTTTAGCAAAAGTTGCACTCCAATTCTTTTGTTGATAAAACTGAACGAAGATCAATTGAAAAACAGACCGGCTTATCTCGTAACAATGAAAAGACAAGTTTAATCTGCTAGTTTGAACTTTTGCTTCTCAGCAATCGACTGAGTCGAAAATAAAATGACAATAGAATAATGAATAAATACGCTTGGACTAAATTAGGGAAAAAATGCACAGTTAATTTCGCTGACGCGTTTCGTGTTAGTTATTGAAATATTAAAACACTCATCCGTGCTCTGCATTACAAACCTAGGCACAAAAGTAACTCATTGATAAAAAAAAGTAGAAAATAAAACGAATCATGAGCAAAAATCAATTAATGTTAAGATTAGAAAAAAGGGGAAGGCAATATCTCAATGTGGCAATAGCTGGGGGTGCGGATGGATGTGTGGGTGTGCGTGTCTAAGGTGTGAATCTTCTTTTGAGTTACATACACTCACAGCCGCTCACACCTAGACAGTCACACGCCTAGTGGACAAAAAGGCTCCCATATGAAAAAGTTTTTTACAGCAGCTTAAATAAATAAAAAGACAAATAGTTTTTAGTTTTTCGTCATCTTACGACGTTTTGGTAAATTTATTATCATTTTCAAGTAAAGGTACAAAGGAAGTAATCGCTTAACAGAATAAAATAGAACAAATTGTGATAACGTATAGAAAATTACAAAAATGAAGTAAATTATAATTGAGTATGGGATGAGTTATTGAACATTAGAAGATTATAGAGTTATTACATAGTGAAACGAATGGAGTACAATACAATATTATTAAGAATACATTATATAGATATAGCATTAATTAATTATTGAGATTCACATAGAACAGTGACATTTATTATTATACTTTAGCGACATTTATAACAATGTTTAGAAGGTTAGATACAAGATAGTATAAGATGAGAACATTGTGATTACAATCCGAGTAAGATGAGAAATTCACTGAGAATTACAGATAAAAAATGAGAAATGAGTCAGAAAAGAGTTAACAATATGAGTATGATGTGTTACACATTAAAGACGAGAAGAGTAAGTATCGAATATTGAATATTTGACATACAATAAGACTGAGTTTCAAGATTCTACTACAATTTTTATTATGTAAGAATTCTGAAGGATACATATTCTATTTATTTGACATTATTGAGATGTCTTTTGAGTTGTTCGCCT